CTGGAGAAGAACAAAGAAAACATGTAACACACGTACATCCATCAAGTCATGACAATGTTTCTCCTTTTCATCTAAATATTAAATATATTTCAACACACACACACACACACACACACACACACACACACACACACACACACACATATACACACACACACACACACACACACACACCACACACACACACACACACACACACACACACACACACACACACACACACACACACACACACACACACACACACACACACATACACACACACACACACACACACACACATATATATATATATAATTCTAAAAACATGTACATTCGTTCGATCTTACAGTTACATATACTGTTGCAAGATCAGCGCCTCCGTTCCTTATTCAGAGTTACTCGAATCTTTGTGTGTTCTCCGCTGATTACCTTCCTGATTACTGGCAAACTTGTTTGGTTAGTCTCTCTTCAGCGACCTCTCGCCGCTCCGTTTAAATGCTTTGACCAGTCTAATTATTTTAGTTTCCGACACCCTTCTTTCTAAGACTTTTCAGTAATTCTTACATATATCTTTGAGAGGTCTCCTGGAGCCAGACATTTGTATGTCCTACGTCATGCCTGTTCCTGAAAGACCTTGGGCGCCGCTGGCCTACATCCCTAATTCGGCAGCGACGCTTCCACACACCCAGCGCGACTTCAGGACTTTATTCGCGGTGTCGCTGGACAGCCTCGAGCTGTGATCATAGTACTGTGCAGGGCCCAGCTCATGTCAGAAGATGCGACAGCGGCCGCCATAATGACTAAACCCAAATATAGTACGCTTTACGACATTTTTTTTGTTTACGCTCGGTCGTGTACGGTGCCCTGGACATGTTCTTAATGTCGCTCTTAAGATAGAGCGTCGGATGAATAAGACGATAAATGAAACTCCTGCATAACCGAGATTCCGCATTGCCTTAATAATAAGTCTAGGATAAACAGTTTTCCCCCGGGCAGCTCCGCAGACAGGTTGCCAGCGCGACAAAAGAGGATACTTCCTTAATATCTTACTAACGCATCTCTATTGCTTGTTTCTCCCTCACTGCACTGTCAACAGCTGCAATAAAAATCCTGAAAACTTGCAAAGAGCTGTTGTGTGCGTGCATACGTACATCTGAGTGGGTGTGAGCAAACCCTGGATGCAGCATCCCAATCACATCATGGTGTCCGCGTACGCGTCTTTCCTTACCTCTGCGAGAGCATCAAGGTCGGCCCTGGCCCTCGCGAGGCGGACCTGTAGGGCCGTGAATTTGTCGGATGAATCCGGGCGTTACTAATTGATCGTAATTCCGTAAGCCGAGATCGAATCGTCAGCCGCCGGACGAGTAGACAATCCTTTACACGCCATAAAAACAATAATCGTTCGGAACTGGACCCTCCTGTTGACCACGGCAACGGGAGGAGAACGAAAGGCAGCGAAAGCTTTTCTTTCTGCAACTTCCTCTCTTGCCGTGTTAATTATCCAGATATTGCCATTATACTTTTCACACTAACTATGAAATTGACAGTCGCTCTCACACCATCAGATCCTTTTTTATATCGGATATCAGTAATTCTCGGTAAAACAGCTTCTATAAATCGCAACATATGTATCAAATGTCATTATTAGCAGATGTGATAATTCGTCTCTGATGCTGTTGAGTCCCATAAAAAACGGCTGATGCACGCGATGTGGAAGATCGATTACCAAGACAATCCTGCAGTTGCATGTCTATCGCCTGATCTACAACGCCGAATTTACAGCTACTGGTTTAAAAAAAGAGAGACAAAAAAGAGTCGAGTGGCGTTATCGAGGCCTCCATCTGCAAAGAAGCGACACGCCTCGTTTATAGTTTCCATTTTTAATATCGTTGAAAGTATTTAGAATGATCTGGCGATCCAGAGTGACATGCATACGGCATCTTTCTAACGAGTGAATAAGAGAACAGCGCCTGTGCCATTATCGCTACTCTTGACATATAAGCAAACACTGCAAGCGGCGCAACACGAAAGGTCCTAAGGTCAGTGCCATGATTAGGCTCTGCGTGTTTGTACAGCTGGAGGCGCCGTGCCAGCCCTCCCCCGGCGGCCGTCAGTCCTCCTCCTGTCCGCTCGCTGTCACCGCCCGAGCCCTTCCTGTCGCTACGGAATCTACAGCCTTCTGTGTTGTGACCGGCCTCCGTCTGCGCTCCTGTGAATTTCGCTCCTGCGGCTGCCAGCCTGTTCCCGGCCTTCAATTATATGAACCGAGGCGGCGATGGCGGCGGCTGAGAGGAATTCAACCTGCTTGGGTGACGAAAGGCGCGCGCCTCCTCGACGAACAGTGGATGCCTTAACACTGTCGCTTTCGCTTAGCCTTCCTTCCTTCCGTTATTCGTCTTCCTCTACATCTTCACTTTCTCGATATTGTCTCCATCTGCCTTTGCCCTTGCTGAGTGGCACTGCTTTAGAGATGGAAGCAGCAACGGCTGCATAATGTATCTCCCCGACCTGACTGGTGGGCAGACTGACTCACACATTGTTATCCTTGGACACGTCGGCGGGATACCGTTTCTGACCACAAATCAAAATAGTGTTAACGCAGCACTGACAGCGTCGCCAGGCCGCGGGTGGAAGCCAGATGGGTGTCGACCTGGCCGTGGCGGCGGAGGTCGATTGCTGGTGCATCGTGACCGCGTGAGACTTTGCTGAGCTTGGGAGTGAAGTCCCCAAAACGAGTCAGAGGGCGCGTCCCCTCGGCACGGACGACACCTTCTGACCCGCTGACCACCCGGGGCGCGACAATGCGGGGAGGAGAGGACTGGAAGAACCGAAAGAACCGCACAAAGGAACTGCACGAAACCCATAGTTTATTTGCACTGTTGGTAACACACACATAAGTGTGTGTGTATATATATATATATATATATATATATATATATATATATATATATAATGTGTGTGTGTGCGTGTGTGTGTGTGTGTGTGTGTGTGTGTGTGTGTGTGTGTGTGTGTGTGTGTGTGTGTGTGTGTGTGTGTGTGTGCGTATGTGTGTGTGTGTGCGTATGTGTGTGTGTGTGTGCGTATGTGTGTGTGTGTGTGTATGTGTGTGTGTGTGTGTGTGTGTGTGTGTGTGTGTGTGTGTGTGTGTGTGTGTGTGTGTGTGTGTGTGTGTGTGTGTGTGTGTGTGTGTGTCTGTGTGTGTGTGTGTGTGTGTGTGTGTGTGTGTGTGTGTGTGTGTGTGTGTGTGTGTGTGTGTGTGTGTGTGTGTGTGTGTGTGCGTGTGTGCGTGCATGCTTGTGCTTGTATCTATCTATATATCTGCCTATCTGTCTTTCTATCTATATGCATATATATATACATATACAGTACATATGCATATGAATGATGGATGGATGGATGGATAGATATATAGATAGATAGATAGACATATAGATAGATATTAGAGGAAAGATTTTGATTAAACAGCTGATGTCAAACTGCTAAGTAAGACTCCCGCGGTGTCCTCCGCTGCGATCGACATCTCAAATCCCTTCCATTACCCCCCCCCCCCCCCGCGCGTGTGAACTGCTCTCGGCCCCATTCAAAGAGCCCGCTGAGGCGCGTCCGTCCCGTATTGTCGCCGGCTCGCGAAGACGTGCGACTTCGGCTTCGGCATCGCGCACGGCCTCTGCGGCACGTCCTGCTGTGGTTTAAATTTCACGTACTGGTTCGCGATCGGGAAGGGCGATCCTCTCTCGCTGTCAGATGCACGCCTCGAGATTAGACGAATCTTACGAGCTCTTCTATCAACTGAGATCGCTTTCCCACCGAAACTTGCCTCGACCTTTTCCCAGAAAAGTTTTCAATTCTACGTGATTTTATTTTTCCTTCATGGTCGGCACCTCAAGTGAGGGGTGGGGAGCTAACAAGTTGGGAAGGATCTTCGACTCATTTTCGGTTCCTTATTAAAAGGTTTATAGCATCTGCTCATCGTCGGTCAGCGCCGTTTTGTGGATCGGAACTTTGGGTTAGGTGGCGGTGCTGCAGCTGAGGAGGGGGTAGGGCGTAAAGAAGAAAAGGAAATCAAAAAGAGATGCAGGAACTGAAGTGAGTAACCGAGCCTGCGTTAAATCCAGACGGAGAGAAAAATGAGCTACACTGACAAAGGTGGCGACCTCTCTACCTCATCTCGACCTCCACGTGGGAAGTGATCAACACAGGACCACTCCAAACGTCGTGAGTCCAACGTGACGGAGAAAGTGTTGGCGTCCGTGGGAAGAGTGCGCGCTGGGTCACGCTTCGCCACCTCCCATACAGCACCACTGCCCATACACAGGCCCCTCCTACACCCATCATCGGCCTACACAGTGATACTATTTTTAGCCTGGTAAACTGCCTTCACACACTACCACAGTTTACTATCTGAATTTCAACGCAAATAGTGATAATGGGCTATGCCAGGGTGATACTGCCATGTGAGCGGTTGCGAACGTTTGTAGGTACCACCTTAAATCACCAGTATAGATGAAAGCCAAAAATTCCTTCAGCATTCCCCATACATGTCTTCTTGCTAGATTCAAAGCTAGTGACGTAACGGCAGTGGAGGGATGATTAAAGTAAAAACGTGAAAAAGCAAGGATAGGAGCTCTCCCTTACACAAGGCAATTCACAGCGAGGCAATCAAAAGTTACATCACATAAAAGACACGCCTTTTAGCTTACCTGTCATCCTCACACAGCCCAGACTACCAGCCGCAGGTATTGCGTGTTGTAATAGCTGAATTCTCACCGTGACTGAACATTCAAGTGGCTGTGGCATGTAATTCGAATGCACTCAAACAACGAATAAAACCAAACAAAGCAAATTAAAAGTACACTGACTCCAAGAAGTTTTATTTCAAGACGATAGAGCTGAGCAAAAGGCGTTGTTGCGTTCATTTCTCTCGACGGATGAACAGTTTCTATAACGTTCCCTCCCATCTTCTCTCCACACAAGGCTGCTCCTCTTCATCAATGAAGATGGATCCAAACAGGAATTTA